TGTGGAATTTGGGGGGAATTTCCTTCCTTTTTCAAAAAGCACTTTTGCTTAGCTAATTCAACACCTAACTAAACATCAACCATAAAACTTAAAACAATTATTATTATTTTTATTTCGTACTACTATTCTTTATAAATAAAAAAACAATATTTATTCAAAATAACTTTTGGCGAGCATGACAGCTGTTGTTAATACGCTCACATTGACTAATTAAGAAAATAGAGATTATTTTTTGTAGCAAAATTTGATAACGTTTCTAACATACGACATGTTGTTTTAAAAATATTGTTTTGGTAACTATCACTATAAGTGTTATTCCTCTTTAAAAAAAAAAAAAAAAAAAGGTTACTGTAAGTGTTATTTTGTTGTGTTTCTTCGTTAAAAATAAATTAAAAAAAAACTTCGTTGACCAAATTATAAGTGAATTATGTAAAAAAATATATAATTGATTTAAAAGTTATCGATTTATTTCTTCCTATTAAATAAGAGCGTATTTTAAAAAAAAAAAACTTTATTGTTGAGAAAACGACACATATTTTCAACTCATTAATCATTATACTTATTAATTAGATAAATTTGATTGAGATTAAATGCTTGGGTTGGGGAGTGAATTTACACTGTGCCAAAAGTCAATTCAAGTCATTTGTCTTTACTTGTTTATTTATTTATTATTACGATAAATTGTGATATATACCATGATTCATCAAACTTACGACATTTTATTTATTTCAAATACTTATTTGAATGTTATATCAGTATATTTGTATATGATTCTTTTTATTTTGTTTTATTTGTATCTTTACAAAAATACAACATGGACCAATGAGTTGTACGTTTCAATAGTTCTATATATCGAAGACAACATTGCATAGTTTAAAATATATTTTATTTTCACTTTTATTTAATTAAATAAGTGAAAATATCAGTACTTTTTACTCTTTTTATTTTTCTTCTACTGCAAATTTTAAAAATTATTTACATTCAATTTTTTCTTTCTATTTTTAAATTAATTGTTTATATATTGAGCTATTTAATGATTTCAACAAAATCAATTGTAAATAACTAAATGTGATTAAAATATCCGTTTAAATCAATTTCATTTATAAATTTTGCATTAAAAATGTATTACGGTGTTTGAAATTGATTTTACTTAAAAGGTTTAGGAGTCTATTAGGAATAATGTCCATTTTATTTATTTTTTGGTCAATGCAATCTTTGTTAACGCTATCCATTTATTTTAAGAATTTTTGCATCAAATGCTAGAATTGGCACATTTATATCCTTCAAACGTGTTTCTGAAAATTTATTTAATTTTTATGCGACATATTATAATAACTAGAACATGAACATGAACTTGCTATGTACGGGTGAATCATAAAATAAATATTTTATTGTGCTTGATTCACAAATGACATGAATGAATCCAATTGAGTTTGTACTACAAATATCATGATAGATAGCATGTAATTCTGCATTGACGTTAGTAGAAAATCCACATGAACCAAAGCCATTAACCTCACGAGTTGCGTAAAAGACCACTAAACACAAAAGGATTGAAGTTGCCAAATGAGCTACCGTTCATGTAAATCTTGACAAGAGGATTACAACAAAGGATCATTAAATATTAGTTGCTAACCAAGTCAATGGATACTTTCACTATACATTTAACATATTTAACATTTACCTACTTATATTTATTAAAATGTTATTATAGATTAAGTTAATATGTTATTGAAAGATTTTTTTATATAAAAATATATAGAGTAACAATTTTTTTATCTCAATATTATTTTTTTCAATTATTTTCTATAATTAAAGTCTCGTATCAAGTAAAAGGATGACATATAAAAAATATATTAATTTTTTCAATATCTAATTATTTCTCAAAATTAAAGTCTTACATTTAATAAAATAATTAATGATATGTAAAAAGTATATATATTCATAAAGTGAATCTGGAGATAAATGAATTTTGATATGTGATATGGATTTAGTGATAATTAACTTATGATATATTCTTTTGTAAAAAATAACACTTAAAAATATCTCAAACCTTAAAGAACTTGTAGATAAGAGTCATAAAATACAAGTATTAATACAATCTATATTAATACTAATTATTATTTTACTAAGTTTATAATAACATGTGAAATATTGTTAAAAAACTCTGGTAAAACAAGTTTTATCTTACATTTGATAAAATGTCGCAAAAGAATATTAGTAACATTTACTCATAATTTAACATTTTTCAAATGTTACTAAAAGTACATAAGTTTAAATATTTTTTTTTAGTTCATATAGTTTAACTTATTTTACCCTTTAATTTTTATAGTTTAAAATAAAATTCTTCCAGTTCTTGTACTTATATTTTTTAATCCTTTTTAGTCCATGTAATTGAAGATAGTTAGTTCTCTTTAATCCTTATAATCGTAGTTTCTTAATCATTTTAGTTCTTATTACTATTTTTTTTGTAACATTGTCTGTTTTGTGTTAACGTGATAAGTGACGGTACAAAAGACACACAAGATGTCAAAAAACTTAATTTAGAATAACTTTAGTAAAATAATTTTGATATTAGACACATAAAGTTTAATTAATATTTATATCATATCAACATAAAATAAAATAGACAAAGTTACAAAAAAAAATTAACAATATATACTAATTTTTTTTTTTTAAAATATAGGTATAAGGACTAAAAATAATTATCTTTAATTATATGGGCTAAAAGTGATTAAAAAAGATAAATATAAGAATTGAAAGTGCCTATTTTAAACCATGAAAATTGAAAGATAAAATAAGTGAAATTATAAAGATTATAAAAATATTTTAATCAATTAAATATTATTGTAGTGTTTATACGATTATTAAGAAATATCATTACGATGAACATTTACTAATAATAAATTTTGGACACTTCCAAGATGGTATAATAAATGATATTAATTACTAATTAATATCTACAATAAATTATACTAGAAGAAGACACATATAAATAAGAGTAAATGTCATAAAATTATATATTACTCTCAATTTAAGTCCTTGTGTTAAATAAACTTATTTTTTTTTAATGAAAGTATCTATGTGACACGATAATGTTATGTGACATACACATAAATACATATGTGGAGTGACATATGTCATGTGGAAATACTATATGATGTATATGCATATGACTATAAAATATAATATCATTTTAATCTCTAAAAATGTAAAACTGCATCACTTTAATCCTTGAAATTGTAATATAATGTTATTTTAGTCCCTAAAATTTTATTTTGATGTGACTTTAGTCTCTAAATATTATCATTTTTATTTTAATCAAGTAATTATGTCTTGAATATTTACAGTAAAATAGATAATTACGTTAACATAGTAAATACGATGATAAATATATTCATCCTTCAATTGTAAATTTTCTTATTCATTTTATTTTACGATAAATACATATTTTTTCCCATGTATGTATATATATTAAAATAAAAAAATAGAACATCAAAGACAAAAAAAATGTATTTTTTGAAAAATGAAAGTAATAGATATTTTTCATAATAAAAATATAAGAAATGATTTATATAAGATAATTAATTATGAAAGTAAAATATAAACATAGAGAAATTAAAACTATTTTTATTTATGTATTTTAGAGAATAAAATGGATAAAAGAAGGGGGAGATTGATAATTAGAAAAAGAGATATAATATAATTAAAATAAAACATTTAATATTTTAGTTTGTAACACGTGTTAAATGTTTATTATACATAATTGAAATTTAAAATAAATTATGTATATAAATAAATATTATGTTTGAATATATAATTTTTGAATAATATGTATTTTTAATATATAAATTATATTTTATATTTATGATAAATAGTTTTCATTGTAATACAAGATTATTTTTATTTAACGATAATCTATTTTAAAAGTATTAGTACTCAATTCATAAATATTTATGATAAAAAAAATTAAACAAAACTTTAAAAACCCTCTTGTCAAATAAAAGTTCCTAAAAATGTCATTTCACATATAGTTATTCCTACTTTATGTATAAAAATTGATATAATGTTAAATACCAAATTTTAATATAATTTAAAGATATTTATCATCCTATTTATGATATTAGTTTAATTATCTATTTTATCGTAAAACTATTCAAGTATTACTTGATTAAATAAAAATTTAATAATGTGTAAAAACTAAAGTAATATCAAATTAAAAGAGTTGAAGTGAAGTTAAGTTACAATTTAAATAATTAAAATAACACAATGTTATAATTTCAAATATTAAAATGATATTATGTTTTATAATCATATGTTACATAAAACATATAAATCATGTGACACACCCACAATATGACACATGTCACTTTATATATATATATATATATATATGTTACATGACACTATTATAAACATTTTTATTTTAAGAAAACTTATTTAATGAAAGAACTTAAATAAATGAGATAATACATTTTTGGAAACCTTTTTTTAGTTTTATTAAAATTATAATCTAAATTAAGAACACTACATAACTTTAGAAATTAATTTAACTATTTATTTTATAAATAACCATCTTTTATATAAATTGATATTGATTAATTTTTTAAAAATAATCGTTAATTAATAAAGTAAAAAAGTTATATTAATGTAAAATAGTTTATATTATCAACTAATTACAAATTAATATATACAATAAATTTATTAATTTTTATAATTAATATTAAATTAATAATTTAAAAGTCACAGCGACAACGATTTAAAAATATTTTATACTATCGTACCTAATCATTAACCTCTAATTAAAAACCCAAAAAATATTAAATTTTAACGTAGCAATATCCTATCGTAACGTAACCTCGATTTGAACAAGCTTTGAGACTTTGACTAACGACGAGAAAAACGCGAGTACCAAGTTCTCGTGTGACGACACTGAAGAGATGGTAGTAAGTGTATATTGCTATTCCATAATGCATAGCAATCAATCAACACCTCTCATGAAAAATGAAAAATAAAAAAATAAAAAAAATGAGCACCATCCCATCACCAATTAATCACTCCAATTACTTTGATTTTGAAAGAAGCACAGTCCAAGTCCAAGTCCCAAGAACACACCACACCAAAGCAAAGAATTTTTGCACCATAAACCGCCATTTTAAACATATTTCAAAACAAAAAGCCCTTCTTTTTCATCACCCCTAAGCCTATGTGCCATCAAAATCCAATCTTGGATAAACTCTCTTTGAATCCAAGTTTTATCTTCTTCTGGGTTGTCTTCAGACTTTAGACTAGTGCACTGTCAGTGTCACCCCTTCCTCATTCCACTGCCACTTCTCAAATCTACCGTTTTTAACTCTTTCAATACATAAACACTTTGTATAAGTAGTGTGCATTTTCACAACCTATCAACTTGGCTAACTTTGTACTTCTTTTATGGTATAAGTCCCACCAAATTCTAGGAAATTCAGTTTCTAACAAGGAAGAAGGAGGAACACAGTGTAGAAAATTTTTGTGAGAAAAATGAAGTTGTGTACTTCATTTTTGTTACTTGGTTTGGTTTCCACGCTCTCTTTTGTGGCTTCTGTCGTGGTGCCTTCAAATGAAGGTGCGAGTTATGGCTGAGTATTCACTTTCTCTCTCAGATCTCGATTTTTTACTTGTGTTGACTTCTGTTTGGATGCTGGCAAAAGACAAAGAAAGCACCACAATGGTTAATATGATGTTCATTTGGTTCCTCTCAGCCAGTCACTGATTTCTTTGAAGTTGTAATGTAATGTGTGTAGTAGTATCACCATGTAGTGAAAAATAACATTTCTGGTTCTTGTGTGAACTTGGAAGTTTTGAGATCGAGTAATTGCTTCATTCTCATTGTACTCTTGTCTTGGCTAACTATGGTATACATTTACAGTAACGCAACATTTGTATTGTCTTTTTTTTATATTTATTGTATAATTTGTTTTTTCTGCACAGTTGGGGCACTTAGAACTTTCAAGGAAGCTGTGTATGAAGATCCACACATGTTTTTGTCCAATTGGAATACTCTGGATTCAGATCCTTGTGACTGGAATGGTGTTTCTTGCACTGCAACGCGGGATCATGTCATCAAGATGTAAGATACCATGGATCCATTTAGCATTTAGTATATTTCTTTGGGGGTGTAAACATAGTCCTCTCTTGCAATGTCATGTCATGCTTCATGGTTGAGATGAACAATTAATGACATACATTTCTAAATTATAAGGTTGCAAATTTCTAATACGGCATAGTGGAATCCTTCTTTGCAGTAACATATCGCGGTCTTCATTAAGGGGCTTTCTTGCTCCAGAATTTGGGAAAATCACCTACTTACAAGAACTGTATGTTCCTTGTTTTTCCTGTCCTTGTTACTTTATTTAATTAGTGATTCAGTGTTGTTACCTTGACATATAATACTTGAATATCATGTTGTGTTCTTATTGCTGTAGGATCTTGCATGGAAACAATCTCATCGGAATAATACCTAAAGAATTGGGCTTGTTGAAATCTCTTAAGGTGTTGGATTTGGGAATGAATCAGTTATCAGGACCAATTCCTCCACAGATTGGAAATTTGGCCCAAGTTGTAAAAATGTAAGAGGAAATCAATATGCTCTTCCAAAATTGTTGACTTCTTATTATTTTCGTGGACCTGTGTCTTCAACTTTATCACATTCTTGCAGAAACCTGCAGTCCAATGGATTGACTGGTAGGTTACCTCCAGAGCTAGGAAATTTGAAATACCTTCAAGAACTTCGGCTGGATAGGAATAAGCTAGAAGGACCTCTTCCTGGTGGTGGCAGTTCAAATTTTTCTTCAAAAATGCATGGGATGTGAGTGCAAATTATTTAAATTGAATTAGCGTAGTTTGTTTAGGGATTTATTACCATCATTCATGTGATCTTTTCACATCTGGTTGATAGAACTCTTCTTTCTCTATAATTACAGTACATGCTATAGATTGTAGGCCACTAGGACTCTTTTATAACTGTGGTTGATTACCATGGTGAGATGGGTTAGTCTATAGGCTTCGTTTTGGTCTGCATACAATTAATTGGTAGGGGATTCAAATTACCGTTTTCTTCAAATGTCATTTACCAGTTTCATTAATGTATACTGAAGTTAACAACATATAGTTCCTTCCATTGTCTTTTGTATTCTGCAAAGAAATGATTTTGTGCATGTGACATATACGATATGATAATTTATAATTGCTACAAATGTCAAATTTTCTATGTGTTCATGAAGCAAGGCATTCGGTATATTGAGGTAGTTAAGAAGACTTAACTTGCCGTTGATATTATGAATTTGGTTAAAATTGTTTTATCTAGAAAACATTGTCAAGTGCACCATTAAGTATAAAATACCAAGTTACGCCATTGCAATTTGGATCTTGTTAATCTGACTGGTTTGTTCATATTATGTCTTCAGGTATGCCTCAGGTGTGAATTTAACTGGCTTCTGTCGTTCATCTCAGTTAAAAGTTGCAGATTTTTCATATAACTTTTTTGTTGGTAGCATACCCAAATGTTTGGATTATCTTCCAAGGTACTCTATTAATCTTCTTGTTATGTTGGCATTCTCGTCAACCTCCTTTCTTACAAAACATAATTTCTTTCACGCAGATCAAGCTTTCAAGGAAATTGTCTCCATATCAAAGACATAAAACAGAGAACTTCGGTGCAATGTGGTATGTATGACATGATATTTTTTGCATTTAAAGTTTATGGCATAAATTAAGATCTATCTTCAACTTGTCAAAAATTTGACTAATACAGAAGAGATGAAATGAGCTTAGTCTAGACTTCATTCTGTTGAGAATGGAATAATGGATAATACGAACTTTTGTGAATCAAATAATATGCACTACCAAGTATAATTTTTCGTTGCTTGTTTTACAACTAATAACGAACCATTATTTAATAGCCGGCGCTTCACCTGCTCAAAATGGTCCTGTAGAGAAACCAAAGTATCAACTTGCTACTAAACATGTGTCCAAGCATCAAGGAGCATCAAAACCTGCTTGGCTTTTGGCTCTAGAAATAGTGACAGGAACCATGGTTGGTTCTCTCTTTCTTATTGCAATTTTCACCGCTTTCCAGAGGTGTAAGTGTAACAACAAATCATCTATCATTATTCCTTGGAAAAAATCTGCAAGTGAAAAAGATCATATGGCAGTACATATAGGTTTGGTTTCTTTCATTTCTACTGTGTATTTACTACTGGTATTTTGTGTAGTTGTTTTGAACATAACACTATCAATGTGCAGACTCTGAGATGTTGAAGGATGTGATGAGGTATAGCAGGCAGGATCTTGAAGTGGCCTGTGAAGACTTCAGCAACATAATTGGGTCCTCACCAGATAGTGTGGTCTACAAGGGTACGATGAAAGGTGGGCCTGAGATTGCTGTGATTTCTCTCTGCATCAAGGAAGAGAATTGGACAGCATACCTCGAGCTCTACTTTCAGAGAGAGGTAAATGGAACATTCCAATGCCTGCAGTGTGCAAGAATTGACAGACAAATAATTAAACCATTCTTAAAAAAATTCTGTTATTGATGCAACTCAGGTGGCAGACTTGGCAAGGTTAAATCATGATAACGCAGGAAAGCTACTAGGATATTGTAGAGAGAGCAATCCATTTACAAGGATGCTGGTTTTTGAATATGCATCAAATGGAACACTTTATGACCACCTACATTGTTGTAAGTCACGGTTCTTAGCTCATCTACTTGTATATTTTTTGTGTTACAGTTCCTTAAAACATGAATGAAATCTTGGCTGCAGATGGAGAAGGGTGTCAATTGTCTTGGACACGGCGTATGAAAATTATCATAGGCATTGCACGTGGACTCAAGTATTTGCACACTGAAATCGAGCCACCATTTACTATCTCAGAATTGAATTCCAACGCGGTTTACCTCACAGAAGATTTTTCCCCCAAGGTGTGCTTGCAACCTAGTTTAAGTTTTCTAACATACCTATTATGAATTTATGATTGTTCTAAATATCTTACTCCACTGAAAAGTGATTCTAAGAGTCATTTAACATGCACCTATGTTTATGTGTTATTATTTTTCTCATTGTAATGAATCTCAAATTTCAGCTGGTTGATTTTGAAAGTTGGAAGACAATTCTTGAAAGATCAGAAAAAAATTATGGTTCTGTTAGCAGCCAGGGAGCCATGTGTCTTCTACCAAACTCGCTTGAAGGGCGTCATCTCGACACCAAAGGAAACATCTATGCTTTTGCTGTACTTCTACTGGAGATAATCAGTGGAAGGTCTCCATACTGCAAGGACAAAGGGTACTTGGTGGATTGGGTAAGATTTTTTCTGAAATTTTCATTATTTTTTTCAAGGCATCAATTAAAACATTCAGTCTTAGAATGTTAAACTCTTGTGCAGGCTAGGGACTATCTTGAAATGCCAGAAGTAATGTCATATGTGGTGGATCCTGAATTGAAACATTTTAGATATGAAGACCTCAAAGTAATATGTGAGGTGATAACGCTTTGTATCAGTCCTGATCCCTCTGCACGTCCCTCAATGCGTGAATTGTGCACTATGTTGGAGAACAGAATAGACACATCAATAAGTGTGGAGCTAAAGGCATCATCTCTAGCTTGGGCTGAACTAGCACTTTCATCATAATTGAGTCAAAAATACTCAACTAACACAACATACACTACTACTGAAGCAGACCTATAACCAATAATACTTATTGTCTAACTACTTTTCTTCTTTTACCTTGCTTTGCTTTTCATTTTAATCTACTTAATTTTATTTCTCACCTGTAAATGATTGTTCAGAAAAAGGGAATGTGTAAGGGTTAATGCATCATAAGGTATCCTTGTATAGCAGTAGAAATTGATAAATGAATGGAAAGAAGAAAAAAAAAAAAAAGTGTTGGACAACTGTCTTTCCTTTTCTTTTTCTTTTTGTACATGTTGAGCCTTTTGTGATTCTTCTTTGGGCCCAGGGGTTTACTTTTTGGCTAATTACAAGTAGAGCTTTTAAGTGTCAACCATTCTACATGTTCATATCAACATAAGAAAAGGACAGTTGTATGGCCACTGGGCACTGCATGATTAAGCTGACCCATGATCATACACGTTCACGTTGCCTTAACCAAACATGTCATTAGGATTTTTGGATGCTTCAAATGTCCCTTTGCGGCTGTTGGAATCTTTTAGCACTCACCAAAATGTTTTTGTTCATCTCAATCCCATTGATAGGTATATTATTTCCCGGCAGTAACAATTCAAGCTTTTATTTTAGTATCACCTTTTGTAATAATAGCAGCATGACTTTAACCAAAGAGTATGATTTCTGTTAATATCAAATTTAAATTATATTACTATTGAAGGAATAAAAGAGTTGAATCAACCAAAAGTCATTAGCATAAATAGTTTATCACATGTTCTTTAACTAAAGATAAGGATACAAATTTTATTTTAGTCTCGTGACTAAAATTATTATTTTATCTTTAAAATAAGCTAATTCTAATAAAAAAAAGTTATTTATCTTCTCATTATATATATATATATATATATATATATATATATATATATATATAAAAGTTAAATCAAGACCTGCGGAAGGATTAGTATTATATATCAAGTTTTAAATTTTGTTAACAGGAGAAGTGTCCATATTTAATATTTAATAGTATTTTAATCAGGATTATTTTCAAAAGATATGAAAAAATTATAAGAAAAAACATTGGTGGTCTTTGTAGTAATTTTAGATCTAACTTGGGTTGTTGGAGGTCCTTGAAGACTGTGGAGTGCAACTGCCTGATGAACACAAGATCTTGGCGTTGAAGCAAGGATTCTGTTTTAGAGACATCGACTGTGGCACTTTAATTTGAATGTCCAGATCCATCGTACGTCTGTTTCAGTGTTTCTTTTGAGTAGGACCACTGCCTGAATTAAGGGAAATCATTTACATCGTAATATTCAAATTTGCGATTGTTCACTGCATGTTGGTTGAGACATCTTAACTTTGGATGTGCACCACAAATTACACATTTAAGACCAAGTCTCTGTTTGGTTTTCGGATTTCAAAATACAAGTAATTACTCTCTGTTTTTGGTGTTACGCATACGTATATTTATATGCATGTTTAATTTCAACAAAAATTTCATGTTAAAATTATATTAAATCTAAATAAAAATTTATGTTCTAAATCAAAACATAAGCTGAATACGTATATTTATTATGCTAAAAGAAGTTTACTTCGAAAAGTATTTATGATACAAGCAACCCTTTTTCATAATTATATTTTCAAAGTATTAAAATAATTGTATCTGTAAATGATAATGAGAATGGGTTAGTTTGTTTAAATTTAAATAAGATGATTATAAAGAATATTTCTTTTTTTAAGAAGGAAAAAGGTAAAACAAAATACTGATTTTTAAAATAAACAGTTTAGACACATTAAAAAAGGCATAAAACAACTTTTTTTTTAAAAAAAAATTATTGATTGTGTTTTTTTACTGCAAGATGAATTCATTGTTTTAAAATATTGAAATAAGTGAAAAAAGGTACAAATAATAACAAAAGTTAATATTCTCGTGTTAATACTTCACTTATATCAAGTAACAAAAAAAAACTAACATATTCATAATTATAGCTATTACAAAATTAATTTATATCTACAAAGCTAGGGATAAACAAATAATAAATAAATAATAAAAATTAAACTTTAGTAAACATATAAATAGAAGGAAAAAAAACTCACTCCAAGAACTACTTCTGCACAGTACATACATTTTTTTTCATTAATATTATTTTATTTGTTCCAAATTATGTCATTTTATAAGTTTATATATATATATATATATATATATA